CTATGATTAACACCCTCCACAATAAAAATGATTAATCAACCTCTCATAATTACAAAAAAATGAATAAAATGAAAAATTATGATTGGTTGAATGCGGTTTGCACGGTTTGTACAAATTGAGTGGTTTGCATTTGATCGTTCCCCTATATAGATATAGGTATATATATATATATATATATAAATATATGTAAATATATATTGTAAGTTTGGAATTAAGAACTGAGCATTGTCTTAGCCTTGTGGCAATACCCCTCCCTCTCGTGCAAGGTCGCACTCATGGGTTCAATCTCATCCCCTCCCATCTCAGTTGATACAAAAGACAAAAGAACATCATTGCAATAAGACGACTGTTAACATCATATAAAAGTCACCAATTTTGTCACACTATAAGATCCTGGGTGATAAGGAAACTAGGTGATTATGCTCCTGTTTAGGTTTGTTGAGTCCCACATCAACTAGTCATGGACCATTAAAATTGTATATATGTAGGAACCCACTCTCTCTGTAAGAATTCTTTTTAGAGAAAATTTGAAGGGATTTCACATATTCTAACATGATATCAGAGTCGGGGCTACCATATTTAGGGACTTGTGTAAAACAGACTCGTTTGCCGAGTTCCACATCAACGAGACATAGACTATCAAACCTGTATATATGTAGGAATCTCCTGTCTGTCTCATGTCTCAAAGGGGTTCCACATATCCTAAGAGTCTTGTATGTCTATATTCATTGTAATTTGTATATTAGCTTCTGTTTTCACGTATTGGCCTGTTGAGATCCCCTTCTATGTTTTGCGTATTGGCATGCAATGTCATTTGAGATGCAAATCATTTGTTTTGGCTGCAAAATACAAATCTGTTTGTACTTTTGTGTCAGCAGACGCCGGTTGTTGGAAAAGGAAGTTGAAATGAAGGAGATGAAGGCGCAATTGGATGATCTAATGTTGCAACAAAAAGAAATATTGAAACAAAGAGATATTATTAGAGAGGCTTCAATACAAACCTCTACTCAAAATGCAAAAGTAAGTACACTTACAAAGAAATGGAAAGAAATTGAGGAGCAAGCCGTGCAAATTACAAAGGAAAAGGGAGAGAGAAAGGATACAAAGGAAAAGGAAAATACAAAGGATACAAGGGAAAAGGAATATACAAAGGAAAAGAAAGATGCAAAGGATACAAGGGAAAAGGAAA